GGGCTTCTGAGAGGCACAAAGAGAAATTTCAGTATGACTTCTAAACTTATTCCTCACTGCATTTAAACACTGAGACTTTGCAGCCTCCCAACATACCTGTACAAGAGCCTCATCAGTGATTCTCTGCCATGCGTTAAGTGGTCCAGACGTGGGAGGACGGATTCTGCGTGACCGCACCAAAGAGGTAACCACTCCAAGAAATGCAGGTTCCTAGAAAGCAGACATGTCAGTGATAACAGAACTGCTGAAATTATTCTTATTCAAAACATCTGAATAGTCCCCCATCCCACCTACACACCTGTCCACAAGCAGAGAGAGGAGCTTCTGCGGAGACCCTTCGGCTGGTAGCTGGACTGGAAGCAGGTGCTCCTGAACATTTCAGAGCAGCAGCAGTGATGTCATTATCCACCTCTGTCTTTCCAGGTCCATCTACAGGGCTGAGTGCAAAATCTACCAGCTTGTTGAGCCTCTTTTCTCTGGCACTGACGACGCTTCCAGCTGTTTTCTGCATGTTCTTCACAAGCTTCATCCCTTCTTTGTCCCTGGTCAGCTCAAACCAAGGGTCAGCTATCCGGTTGGCCTTCCTAACTCTGTCTGCCTCTGCCCAAGGGGTGTCCTTCCTCACTGGCTTCGAAGGGCCTCCTACCCACACCCACGGGACATCTTTCTCACTGGAAGCAGGACGCTTCCGGAAAACAGGAGGAAATAACTTCATATTATCCCTCCTTGTCAGTCCAGTGGCGTCCATTTCGGGCTGCTGTCCTTCGTGCTCGCTGCTCGCTTTCATATAGTTCTTGTGGTTCATTCTGAGATGCTAAAAAGATGTTCTTTTTACTGGGAAATGTAGAACAATAAATAAATGACAATAAAAGAATGAAAATCAGTTTGCGCTCACTAACATCGACGCTTCTGTAAATCACAACGGAAATGTAATCTGAGCTGCACTCTCTGCTGCCTTTTATACTACTTTGTAGCGATGATGTCACTTCATTATGATGTCACTGCACTCCATTATGATGTAATTCTGCAAACGGAGCTCCGGTGGGCGGGATCAGTGGGTAGAATGCCTGTCAGTCATTTTTGACTACAGCCAATCAAATCACATTTTTGTTTTTATTGAGCCAATCAGCAACCAGAGGTATCTGTCCATCATTTTCTATTGTTTTTATTTACATAGAGTGAACACTGAGCTGCATTAGTATGTATGAAGGATGGTACACAAACACAATAAACTCTACATGCAGTTTGTGGACGTGTGAGTGACGCAATAGTAGATTGTCGTGATGTCATTCTAGCTACAAAATAGTATAAAGGGCGCCGATCGTCTATAACTGGTGCTATAACAGCCACCATTAGTGAGCACATTTGAATTGAGGCCCATTCTTCAACGGCAGTTCATTGTTTTTTCTATATTGCTGTAAAAGAAGTCTTTGTTTGTGTATCAGAATGAACTGGGAGGTGAGAAGAGGGAGATGATAGACATGGCAGATTTAAAAACTCTAAACTAGACACCAATGTTTAGATCTTTTAGTCAATATTTCCACAAGAAGAAGTTATTTAAGGATGAATTATATACTGCAATCACCTATTTATAGTTTTTGTAAATTTATCTACCTCAAGATGTGATTGTCACTTCTGGAATACAAGGCATTATGAATATTTTATATTTCATTCTAACTTGCAGTCATGCAGCTTTGTTTATCAGTCTGGATACATTCAAAATGTCTTTATGCTTTTATTTACTTTCTTTTACAGCTTCCTTACTATTTGTAATTATATAAACCAGGGCTGCTGGAACCACGGCAGTGCGCGGGCATTTGACCCACCACTTTCAACAGTACTGAGTTCAGGATCCCCACATTAAACCCTTCACTTTCCCTAAACTACATGATACAATTTTTAAAAAATTAAAATAATAGACTTCGAGAATAAAGTCATATTTTCTTAAATAAAATTGTAATATTTTGAGAATAAAATCGTAATTGGTTGGTGTGGACTGTCTAACTTTTTCTTTAGTTTGGTTTTGACATGTGACTCATCGTCGCTGTACAATCTGCTGCTTTAGCATTTTACTCTTTACAGCTCATATCGTTCCTGCACTGCCAACTGCTGTAAATCAGAAGAGACAAGCAATAAAATAATGATCTGTGTTAGATTTTGGCACATGGAGATTTTGGAGAACAATTTTGGCCAAGCATCAGTCGACCTGATCAGTTAATTTTAAATCGGTGATGATCAGCTTCTCTATTTCTCTATTTTCTGGTTTTCTGTTTTCATGGTGGTGAATGTGAGAGTAACACAGCGCTTGCATCCCTGCAAAACGTCTAATCAATGAAAAAACACCCACATGTATAACTTAGTGTACTTCAGCCACTGCAGTCCACCGTCTGAACCAAATGAAGAGATCAGAAAAATATCACAAAAAACAAGCTGTGGGGAGTCTTTAGAAAATGAACTGGATATGACAACAGCTTGATGTTCTTTGGAGATACTAGCAAAAAAATATTGCTATCTGAGGCTGCAGCTACTGAAGCAGCATCAAAACAAACACTGACACTGGTCATGATCAGGTTCAGAGGTGGGGAGAGGAGCCCAAATCAGTACTCAAGTAAAACTATTGATACTTGCATAAAATAATTGCACAAGTAAAAGTACCTTCCCCAAAACAGTTTAAGCAGAAATATACAAGAAGAAGGTTGTAAATCTACTTAAGTACTGAGTTCTGCAGTGGAACTTCTTACTACATCCAGCATTTATCAGAACTGAAGATTGTGCAGCTCTGTTCTTCACTTTTTGGGATTCTTTTGGTCTAAATACACAAAGCTCCAAAGTCAGAGATGAAACCAATCACAAAGCAGTACAAATGTTGCCTCCATCAAAACGCACTGAAATTAAACACAAAAGATGGAATTAGTAGCTAAATAAGGATGGCTAAAATGTAAAGGAGTATAAAGAGTCCTTTACTTACGGAGGCCATGAGCTGTTGCCATAATTTTCTGGATTGTCATCTTGAGATAACAAGATAAATAACTCATTATCTCAAGATAACAACTTTGTTATTTTGAGATCACAAGATAATTAACTCAAAATAACAATCCAGAAAATTTTAACTACCTCATGGCCTCTCTGGACTTCTGTATTTACTCACTTTAGTAGAAGCAATTCTAATATGATTTGAAAACACGCAGGAGAGTTAAAATCAATCAATATTTTACTGAAGTACATGTACTTGAGTAAATCGCTGTTGTCGGAACAAAACCTTGTATCTCCAAAATCAATTTTAAGTAACTTTACAGGAGAAGTAAAAAACATGCTTTACTTTTAATGCAAGTCATTCTGGGTCGTTTCTTTTGGTCCATTCATCATGAAATTTACACACAATGTGAAGACCAACAGGCATTTTCAAATGATGTCAAAAACTGAAAAATGTCAAAAATGGAGATACAAGATTTTGTTCAGACAGCAGCTAAATGTAACTAGTTACTACCTACCTCTGAATAGGTTTATAAAGACTTCAATAGCATGACATGAAAGGCAGTTTTAGTCAGTGTCCTAATTGCATTTCATCACTCAGCCAGCCGCTTTTTTATTTTTATTTTTAAAAGAATATGTTTTGCCCCACCATTTTTGGAGGTGTGGCACCACCCCAATATAAACTTGATTCCAAACTTATGAATGGTGATTGATAATATTTGATGCTTGAGTAGATGACTTTATGTGTCTGTTTTCTAGGATCTGCTTGTTTTGATTGATCTGGAGAATGAACCTGGGCGAACTCCAGAAATGTATGAGCACTCTTTCTAGGAAGCTCTGGTTGTCATTGATCTTGAAAGTGAAGATGATGCCACATCGGAAAGTGAAGAAGAGGTGAAGGACCTCATGGCAGCCAGAGACGCCGTAAACGCAACAGAGGAATTCTCAGCCCAGGAGTTTCAGCCTGCACTTCATTGGCCAGTGAACTCTGCTGTGGGGATATGCGGGACCTATCCAGTACCTCCTCAACCGGTGAGCCCTGCTGTCTCTTCTCCTCTCAGTCCCTGGGAGAACATCACTGGAGGGCATGAGGACGATGAGGCTTGTGATCAGGTATGTGAGGGGGCTGTGGAGTCTTTGAATGTGAGTGAGGGATTACTTTAGCAGTTGTATTAGAACATCTCTTTCTACCTCTCAGACACTTGAGCTTGAGCACACTGAAGACAGTGATGTGAGTGAGGCAGCCGAGCAGGAAGTTGAGAAAGTGGGTGGAGGAGAGGAAAGAGAGGACAGGGAGGATCAGGGAAAGAAAAAGAGGAAAAGAAAAGAGGACGTGGTGGAGGAGGTGAGTTTTAGAAATAAAAGTTTATTTAGTGCATTTTCACATTAGTGCTTACTGAAGTGAGAACTGAGGATAGTGGCGATTTCCTGTGACAGTGTTTTATGATTATGTTCCTTTAACTTTCTGTTCTCTTCCAATCTGCTTTACAGGTTCCTCTGCTGGCTGCCCTGCATTCGTGTTAAATCCAGCAAGAAGCACAACTAGAAAGACAACAAGGTTCCTAAGACGCATCCCACACTACACTGCCTCAGTGCAAAACACAATAACCTTTATCTTTTCAAATGAATCTAATACACAGAACCGTTTTATTTTATTTTATTTTTTTAAGTAAAATCTAGTAATATTCCATTTTAGTGTGTAATGAATTCCAGTGACAATGATATATTGTATAGAGAAAATTTCTATGGATGGTCTTTTAAATCAGTAATAGTAGTAAACTTTCAATGGCTCATTTAATTTTGCACTTGAACACCATATTTACACCCCCAATCTAAATTAGCAATAAGTGCACATTCACCCTGCTATTAGACAGGACAATGAGTCTGATACTATGTCAACAATACGGACAAAGACAATCTGAAATGATTCCAGAAGCAGTTGGAAGAAAAGCAAGAGGATCTGCTTCATGATCAGCCTATAAATTCTGATGTATGGGTCACGAACACATGAAACAATTACAGACCTGTAAATTTGACATTATTTTATTCTTTCGGCATTTAAACTCTGTTACACGAGCAGTGCAGAATAGAAGTGCAATGCTCCAATCGTACAGCGGATACACTGGACAATACAGCTTAAAACACAAAAACTAAACCAAAACAACAAAAAACACAGGCAACCACAACAACTGCCGGCAATAAATAGTAACTTTAAGTAATCACGTCTCTCAGATCTTCTGTACAGAGAAAATGGAACGATAATTACACCAAACATGAAATCTATAACTATAGATAGGATGATATCAAAAAAAAAAACAATACACTGGAGAATGAAGCAGTGCTGAGATTTTTAGGTATGAAAATACATCCAAAACACACAAAGATGATCAAACTTGTTCATTGATGTGCAGGAATGGCTAGACACTTCAGGCTACTACTGCTACATAAGAACAAGGGAAAGCAGAGCAGTGGAATGTGTGGAGAGGAGAGGAGAGCGTCAGAGGGACAAGAGGATAAGCGCACTGCCCCACAGGCTGACTGGACTCAGAAAGGGACTTAGTCCTCCAGCGTGCGGAAGGAGTTCTGCATGTCCTCATGCAGCTGGGCATAGTCAGCTTTAATCTTGGCCTCACCCTCCTTTACAGGGTCCTGAAAGAGAGAGGAAGAGAGAAATGGCTTTAGTCAACTTGAAATCACAATTGACCTTTTTACCTCGTTAGTACATGTCTGGCCGTTAGCATCATTCATCATATCATAGCTTTAAAAAGGAGAATTATTGTTTTCCTGTAACCTTATGCATAATCCATAATGAAAACATGAATTTACACAGTGCACAGCAAGTACCTTAAATTTCATAGAGCTGATCCTGTACAGGATCTCTCCCATGTGTTCACGGATCATGGCCCAGGTGATCTTGTTGTCACTCTGTGCAGTGGACTCCACTGCATGCCGAGCCATATCATAGAAGGCGATCATATTCGACAGGATGCCCACCGTCTTGTAGAATGGACAGAACCTGGAGATTTAGAATAGGTAAGAAAGGTTTTAGAAAAGGTAATTTGGGTTGCTTTTTACCACCATATCATTTACTGTATACACAGCACAGGGTACATACTGCATACACGGTAGTGCTGGGCGATATATATTGTCTATACCGGCATACAATTATACTAACACATTGTGATATTGCTATTCAGTTTTAGTGATATTTCAATAATATCATTTTTATTTTCATGATTTTTTTCATTTTCATAATAAACCTAAGCTGTCCTGTGAAAAGGTGTTCGACATCTAGCCTGGTGGCAGGTTTGGGGAAAGAGCCCACTCTCTCATTCTGTTAAGGCCTGACCCCAGACCAGGTCATAACAGTAATGATATAATGACCATAAAACAGCAGCCAAATGATTTGCTTTAATTATCTGTTATCTGTTGCATTGGTATGCATGTCTTTTAAAAATTACAGTAAAGCATGGTCAACTATAAAATTCCCCTTGGGAGTTTTAAGTGAAACAGAATGATTTAATTACATCATGGTAAGTGTAACTACCTGTCATAAGGCGTGTAACCATTCTGCTGCAGGAAATCATCCTTGATCAATTTAGCAACTTCCAGTGTGATTTTGTCAGTCTCAGCCAGTGAAGCCTGGTATTTACAAAACAAATAACATTTTTTTTAAAAACTTATAATAATACTTTATATCTCACTTTTAATGACAGTTATGTTATAGTTATGGTCACTATTTAGCTGAAATAAGCAGCAACAAACCAGGCACACTTTCTCACCTTGCCCACAAGCTGTACAATCTCAGCCAGGTCCTCTTCCTCCTGCAGAATCTCCTTGGCTTTTGTGCGCAGTGGCACAAACTCAGGGAAGTGCTTGTCATAGTATTCATCAAGTGCTCGTGTGTACTTACTGTAGCTGATCAACCAGTTTACTGAGGGGAAATGCTTTCTCTGGGCCAGTTTCTTATCTAAACCCCAGAACACCTAAGAAGAGAGAGAGATAAAGAGTATAATAATCTGTGTGAGAACAAAGAAAGTGATTTTAACGTGAGAGTTAATGAGTGTAAGGTCCATACCTGTACAATACCGAGAGTAGCAGATGTCACAGGATCTGAGAAATCACCACCAGGGGGAGACACACTGCAGAAATACACAAAACTCATTGTTTTACTAACATCTAATAACAGAACCACGTCTGTGGTTTGGATGTATACTATGACGTTATCTCCCATTTATATAAGGAACTGGTCCCTTATTTATTTAACCAAGAAAAAAAATAAGCTTGTTTGTATAACTAAATAAAACTACATAAACCAGTTCATGTAGTTTTAACCTGAACTAAATAAACTGAGGGGATCAGAACCTGTCTTCATAAAACTTCTCCAAGTATGACTGCTGATCTAAGATCAGCTCTGAGAAGCTACATGAATATGGCCCATGGACTGATATGAGCGTTTTCACTCTGAGATACTTAAAGGGGAATTCCACTGATTTTCCAAAATCTCTGCATAATTCAAAGGTTGAGATGTAAACAAACACATTCAGGGTGGTGTGATTTGAAATTTGAGTGCATTTTATAGAAACTGAAAGGATTATTACTTTACAGTGGCAGTTATAGGAGCCAGGAGTCATATCTACAACACAAATATAGCCATTTTATGGACTATCCAAAAGAGCCAGTAAACATACAGGTGTCTGAATTTTTATGTAGTAACTTTTTTAGCAACTGTTTTATGGAGTAACTTTCTGTGAGAAAGCTTTTCAAGCATAAAAAGCTTCAGACATGTCGTTCCTACCACCACTACTGTGAACAACTCTGTCTCGGTAAGTTTCTCTAGAACAGAGCATTTTACATTCTGAACGAATCTGATTGTATCTTAACAATTTCTTCATGCAGAATTTTTGAAAAATCAGTGGTGGAATTCTCCTCTAAGTGTGGGCGCAGATCCTTAAAAGAGCATTCCACCAATTGTTCCGAATTTATGCATAATTCAGACATTAAACTAAAAAACAGAATCATTGAAAGTGGTTTAATGTGAAATGCTCTGATAGTAACCCCTGGTTACTATCACTACCACTGTAAAGAAATCTGAGCTGCCAAGTCTCTCTACAATGCTCCATCTCACATCAAACCAGTCTGAAAATGTTTACATCTCAACCACTGAGTTATGGAGATTTTAAACAAATTATGCAGAACGTCTGGTGGAAAGAACAGGTGGCTTCAAAAAAGAGGGAGATAAACAGCTCCCCCATGTGTCCAAAAAATGTACTCACGCGCCCACTATGCTAACGCTGCCTTCCCTCTCTGGATTACCAAGGCATTTCACCCGGCCAGCACGCTCATAAAATGAAGCCAGACGTGCACCCAAATAGGCAGGATATCCACTATCTGTTTAAAACACACACACAAATGGTTAACGAAATAGTGATGCTAACACACTCTTTTGTTCATTTTAACAACCGTAAAAACATGGATTATTTATTCACCAGCAGGCATTTCAGCCAGACGACCAGAGATTTCTCTCAGAGCCTCGGCCCATCGAGAAGTGGAGTCAGCCATCATGCTCACATTGTATCCCATGTCCCTGAAGTACTCGGACAAAGTGATTCCTATAGTAAAGATTAATAAAATAAACATACACAGACATAAAAGTCATGGTATGCAATATAAAGCAATACACAATGTTCATTATGACTGGCAACATATGCATTGCAGTGATGTTTAACAGGATAATACCTGTGTAAATAGAGGCCTCTCTGGCTGCCACAGGCATGTTGGAGGTGTTGGCTACCAGAGCTGTTCTCTTCATGATACTTTCCACTTTGCCATCCACCTCCATAGTTAGCTGTTGAAGAAGAGCACAGTCAAACATCCTGGACTTCAATCATTACCAGTTCAGGGCCACCTCAAAAGTGATGCTAACCCCTTACACTATAGGTTTATTATTCATTTATGAACCTTAAAGCTGCACTATGTAAGTTTTGGGGATTTGTAGACCTCTCTGGTGGAAATATGTAACTGCACTGAAACATTTTGTTATGTGGGTGCTTCAGATCCCTGAAGAATCTTATGACTGCAAGCGTGTTGAAACAGTATTCAAAGAGACGTGTCTTCTGAGAATGTGAGTGAATTATCTACTATTTGTCATCATATCTTCATCATTATAATGTTAATTTTGCAGTTGAGACCCAAACATCGAGCCAGGCCTTCTTTGTGAGGCTGTGTGTGTGACGTTAAAACATTAAGACCTGACACCTGATTTTAAAATTATTTTATATTATTTATTTATTTCAGGCTGTACAGGGTGACCCACAGCAGCGCAAACACAAACATATTTTGGCTTTTATTTGTCTCCTGTCTCAATAATGCTACTTCTTTTAATAAAAATCTTATATAGTGTAGCTTTAAAAAAACAGAATATATATAAAAACATACTAATGTGATTAAAAATAGCCACTATTTAGCATGACATCATTAGCATAATGCTAATTGTAGTTACACAATTTCATTCACCTTTAAGTGCATTAATACTTATAGTGACTACTGCAAATTATTCTTTGTCACTATAAACTACTATGAAAGTTAATGTGTAAGTTCTGCAGTACTGACACTGAGGAATTGAAGTGTAGACTTATATAGAGAGTTTAATGGGTTAAAGCTACACCATTACAATTTGTCTCTCACCTCAGGGAAATCGCGTAGTACTTCTGACATCTCATTACCACGCTCTCCGCAGCCCACATAGATGATGACATCACTGTTGGAGTACTTGGACAAGGACTGAGAAATCACAGTTTTGCCACATCCAAAAGCTCCTGGGATGGCTGTGGTCCCTCCCTGCACACATCTATGAACATAAAATAACACAATCTAATGAAAACAGGAATGACTGTGCATAAAAATAAAAACACTTCACACACCACAGTAGGGGTGGGCTATATGTGTGTAATATGGAAATATTTATCATTATCGTGATCAATTACACTGTCATAATTAGCATTTCAGGGTATTGAACAAACACTTAATAACCGTGTGCTTCATTATAAAGAGAGCATCAGTTGTCTTGTTTAATTGGGTTTAATTCAGTGCAGTATGCAAAACTACCAAACATCAGCAATCATTTTCATAAACACGTCAGGTACCGTGATATGTTTTTGCCATATCGACCCCACCCCCCATTTCTACACCACAAAAAGAAGTCATACTGAAACCCGTCACGTCACTCACGGGAAGAGGGCATCCAACACTCTCTGGCCAGTTAGCAGGGGGTGATTAGCAGGCAGTTTCTCAGTGACGGGTCGGACCTGACGCACCGGCCACACCTGCACCATGGTAAATTTCTCCTTCACCCCCTCAAACTCCAGCTCCAACACCACATCCTACCACACAGACACATACACTTCAAAGTCACATCAATACTGTATGATTATTAAAGCGCTGATCTTGTGGTTTAAATCAACTCCATATCTCACCGAGACGTCATAGTTCCCAGGTGGGGCCAGATAGGTGACGGTCCCCCGGTTTCTGGGTGGCAGCATGATTTTGTGCTTAATAAGAGAGTTCTCAAAAACCATACCATAGATGTCACCTCCAGTAATGTGACTGCCAACCTGAGAAAGAAGAGAAGAGAGTTAGGATTTCATAAACAATATGAATTACATACATAATATTATCAACAACAGGCGAACATACTGAGGCTTTTCTGAAGTGATTCGGCTTTTCTTTGAAAAATGTATCAGAAGCAGAACTTTCCTAAATCTCCTAGTGTGACATATGATCTAAATATAAAGTTTTTCCAGCAGGCACATCTGTTATGCTTATGAACTGGTGGAATGATTTTAACTTACTGCCAGTATGAATTCTAGCTGTTATAATCTGAAATCATTTAATCATTTAAAAATAAAGCTTAACTTTCGAGGCTACTTTTGCATTAAAAAAAGTGCTTCTTAATCCTTATTTAAAATAGTGATCTCAGGGGCTCCTAAGTACTGCAACTCTCTAAAAGTTGGCCCGATTGAGAGTCTGATTCCTGGCGATCCCACAGCCATATGTGGCAGGGAGCCTAAAAGACTAGGGAAGCACCGAAAAATAGTGCCAAAATAAATAAAAAAAAAAGAACATAAAAGACTAAATAAGTCTGCAATGAAATGTCAAAATATAACACTTACACTTGTTAAGAAAATGAGAAATAGTAATTAAAATGCTGTTTTTTCCCTTTGCTCATTAACATACATATGTGAGGTTTATGGTTCTCTAAAAGGCAAACAGTAAAGCGGACTGTGTCCTATTAGTGTCCCCTCCTGGAAAAACCTCTGACTTCTAGGCCTATTAAACATATTTACATATTCATTTTTAAATATATAATATTTTAAATATCAATATTTACATATTGTAATATTTATATATTAAAAAAACAAGGTGCTTTCCATTGCTATAGCATGCTGGAATTCAGCTACAGATGCCTTTAGGAATCGATGAAGAATTATATTTCAATAATTTTACAACTTTTAATATTTGATATTTTTTTCCAAGATGTCTATAATTAGTTTAGTCCTCTAGTTCTCTTTCTCAACATGGGGATTATCACCATTGAAGCATCATCAAAATTATTACATTAACAAGCCTTCACCCTCCCAGCGTGGAAACATTCTGTGATAGGAGATCTAGCTAGTGGAATTAGACATGACTAAACTGGGGGAAAATAGTTTAAAACCAAAATAAATAAATAAATAAATAAATCGGGATCCTAGTAATAGATGTTTGTGCTTAGGGCACTAAAGGCAGCAGAAGCCTTATTATGTACTTAGTATTGTTTTTGTTATCTAATATAATGTCTGTATATTATAAAAATTCTGATGTTTTGACTATGTCCCACATCCAAAAGCTGCAACACAATCCTACAGAAAAAACAGGTCCCATTAACGGTATGATGCTTTAACCATGGGATTTTTGGGCAATACATGCTGTACTGACATTGTATTTAACACACATTCATTTCAGTAAAATTCTCACTCATCTTTAGGCACTTACTCGTAGACTCTTGGAGGGAGAAAACTCCCATTTGAGGTCGCGGTTCAGGGCACCGATGTTCACTCCTCGGGGGATGTAGATGCTCTTGGTCAGATCATTGATGTCTTTGAGAGGACGCTGAATACCATCAAAGATGGAGCCCATGATTCCAGGACCCAGCTCGACAGAAAGGGGCTTCCCTGTACGCAGGACCGGGTCGCCAACACACACACCAGCTGAAAACAGCTTAGGAAATCTAACACACTTAAGAATCAGGCATCTAAAAATGCATCAAGCTGAATCAGTCTAAAGGTGGCAGTTCAGCTGCATTCATTTTGGAATTTCATAATCCTTTATGGTTGACTATATTAATGTTTAATAAAGTGTGCATGAATTTTTGGGCAAAATCAAATTACCTTACTTTTTGTGAAAAAAAAAATGTAAAAAAAAATTGCATTTGTATATTCTCTGTAATTTTAAAAGTAACACAAAATTGAAAATCATGAAACCAAATTCAATCACATTGTGGTGAAATTTGAGACTGAATCGTTTCCAGAAATATTAATTGAATCTTGAAGAAAGAGATTTACAGTGGCATGCAAAAGTTTTGGCACCCCTGTTCCAATTACACGTTTTCTTGGTTTTGTAAGTGAAAATAAATTAACACATTCTCTACTGGGGAAAAAAAAAAACTTAATTATGTCATTCTTCTGCTAATTTTAGTGCACAATGTATATTTATTTGCTGAGTTTAACATATTGGAAAAAACAAAACACCAAATATAAAATGTGCAATAAATGTGCCGCATTTTATGATTTACTTTTTCCCGCCAATATGTTAAATTTAACAAATAGACAGTAATCGTGTATTACAATGTGCAGAAGTGTGTTCTTTGTACAGAATGTATTAACTTACTTTCACTTAGAAAATCAACAAAACATGGAATTTGATAATGGGGTGTTCAAGCTTCTGCATACAACTATATACTTCTGTAAAGAATGTATGACTGGGTCTTTATATTACACCTACAGGGCTAAACAGAGGGTGCTGAGGTTTAAAAGGATGAAAAGTAGTCCTTTTGGTCTGACCAGCATTTAAATGCTATCCATAAGTAGTAATGCTTAGCTCTCATGGGTACTAATATTTTATCCACAAGTAATAAAGCACACTTAGTTACAATAATGTTGCTCCTATTGAGCATACAGAAATCTCTCATTTCAAATAAAAGATTGTATATAAATGTTAAATTTCCACTGTGCAAGTTATGTCTCTTCAGAGTAGGATACAGGTTTCCTCATACACCTGAATGGTGGCCATATCACCCTCCAGCCGGATGATCTCTCCCACCAGCTCACTGTGGCCCACACGCACCAGCTCATACATGGCTGCCCCGGCCATGCTGGAGGCCGTCACGACTGTGAGGGAAACGCACAGATACAGGTCACTTACATGACAAACATACCATGTCTTTGACAGTCTTCTATCAGTGTTTCGGCAGCATCCAGATTTTACATATAGCTGTACATAACTATTCAAAATTTTTTAATGTTTTCAATAACCCTGATGGACATTTGACAATTTTTAAATGACAAAAAATTCACAAACAGTTAAAGCACAAACTATAACAACAACAAAAAAAACAACGGAATTCATTGCCATAGATAACCAACTGTTCTCTGTGATGGACAAAGCTGGATTTTGTGGCACATTCTGTAGCTACATATTGTAAGTTGTAAGTTTATTTTATGTAAACTGTTTTTACTGTCAGCTCAGTTTTGAAATAAACGATATTAAAGGAATAGATGAAAAAAATCGAAACATAGTTGTAGATTCTCTGTGTTACTGACCAGGTCCAGACACGCCGTGCACATATCCAAACTGTCCCTCACGCTCCTCATCTCGAATCTTGGGCAGCTTGGAGAAGTCCATGTTGAAAATGTGTGCCTATAGAGCAGACAGAGAGCAATACTGGACATCATTAGCATGAAAAATTCAGCAGATCACTCATTAAGGTCTTCAGACTGTACAAGCTATTATATTTTCAGATTAAATACAATTTTTGATTTTAAAGTTAAAATTAAATGAAATTTTCCATGTATTGTGGATTAAAAATGTCTTAATGCTACAGAACTCTATCAAAATACATTTCAAAATTGAAACACTCAGAATGCAAGTGACTTCATTAAAAAAAATAATAATAATAATTTTTACACAGTGTTTGTAGCATAAACCCCATAAACCTGTGTATTCATTGTGAACTACAAAGAACACTTTCAAAGAACTTGGCCTGTATGATATGGACTAAATATATCATACTGTGATTTAGGGGTGGGCAATATGACGATATTTCATTGTAACTGTGATAAATTATGTCACAATATGCTTTTATGATGATCATGGATATCGTCAGAACTGGTTTTATTAAAATAATTTGTCTTTTTGATCTAAACATCTGCAACAGCCTGTACTTATGCATGGACAAGGACTTGTTGGACAGTTCTGTCTGACAACAAAAGCAGCGAGAGCCTGACATAGTAAATAGGTGCGATATCCTTCCTCCAGTCATGTAATCTGATCGGAAGTAGTCACTGGGGACGCATGCAAGACGCACAGAAATGCCAGATGTACACAGCTACATGTCTCACTGTCTGATGTTAATACCAGGTATGAACCTGGCCCAGTTCACACTTCACAGAAATTTGCTCTGAGCTGTATGCATTAGCCACAATCATGATAACGTGTGCAGCCCTAGAGGTCTTTCTGTTCTTCATCTGTAGGCCATATAGGCAGACCTGCGCAAGACAAAAAATTCTCAATTACAAGGCTCAAACAGTTTCATATGGTAATACACAAGCGAAAGTGAATGTAGAGTGTAACCTCTTTACATTCATGGACGCCAACATCATAAGCCTTGTTCAGTACTTACATGAAACATAATGCAAAGTAATTTTACAGATGGGTTCATGAATCTTAAGAGGTTTTTAAAATGCCCAATATTATTAAATATGTAAATATGTACGTATGTGAATATGTATCTTTGTCCTGGCATTTTCACCAAACACGCTATTGTGTAATATTTATGGAGGAGTCATAGTGCAATATCACATGATGACTGCCCGTGACTGACTGTTAAAAAAAAAGAGGAAGGGGCCAAATAGACGCTTGAGTAATTCTGGGGAGTTTGTATTCATCCGCCACATCAGCACTAGCAGCTGTGTGGAAATAGGAAATATAAATGGGATTATGTGCCGCTTAGTCATTTGAACAATAACAGTTAGGCTATAAATCTTGAGATTTACAGAGAATAACCCCTGTCTTCACATCTTATCTTATCTACTTGTTCTATTAGAATCCAATGTATAGTGTCAAAAAAAAGTGACCAAAATAAGACTTTCATCCCACAGCTCTGAGGAACCTCACGGCCAACAAATGTTAACATTAGTCTTCTCCTTTTTCCCCAAACCTTGTCTAAACCTAAAGAAACAAGAGAACCAGTCTTACTTGTAATTAGGGGTGAGCAATACCGATAACATACAATACTATTGTATGTTATCATTTTTGTGACAGATTACATCACAATATGTGTATATAACCAAATACTCTGAAAACATGGTTATAGTCAGTACTTCTACAACACTCATCTATTTAACTTCATAAAAAAAGACGGATTTGGCAGCTGTGGGGCGACAGTAACATGCGATATTTTTTAAATGTACATATCGGCCGATGCAGGTACATAACATTTATAAAATGTGGGAAACTGGGACTAAATCTATCTAATATCCACCGGATCTAGAAGTCTTAGCTGACAATTAGTTGTTGTGTAAATAACAGTGATTAATGATTTAATTGACTTTTTTGTTCAATTTTTGCAACTATTAAAATACAAACCTTAAGTGGCCGAATCAGCTGATTAGCCACGTTACTTGCTATCTATGTTTACTTAGTAACTAACACTGGTTGTACTATCAAATCAATACAGCAGTTTCTACAGTTACACACAATAATGTGTACAGCTTAAGTAAAGTTATGTAGCTTAAGTAAAGCTACAGGAAAATAAGCAAAAAACAAAGATTCTACCAGCATACCTGCTAAAAACGTTTCAGTTAGCTACATAGCTAACAAACAGATAAACTAACATTACTCAGTGCTGCCCTCTGTATGTAGAATACCACACTAGAAGCTAGAACTTTTTTGTTTTCATATTTTAACATTTTAAAAAAATTATTATTATAGAAAAAAAAACTATTTATAGTTCATTTTTTTCACTTTTTGTTTTCATAAATTGCAAGATTCCCCGTTCATTTATTTACTTTATTTATTTTAGCATTATTCTGTTCTCAAACTTCAGAAAACTACTAAATATCATGAATCACTTCTTCATATATGGTGATGTGTAATGCTGAAAGACTAATCATTTTTATATCAAAATCGAAATTTAAGAGTGCAATTTTCAAACCGCCAGAGCTGCGATTTTTTAATTACAGCCTAAATTATCAACAACATTGTCTGAAGTTTATAGAAGGGAAATTCAACCTAATAATAACAATAAGGTAGACCAATCAGAGGCAACCAAACCTCCACGTGTTGTGACATCACAGCCACAGCTTACTGGCTGTCTAGCACACTACATTGAGGGGTCAAGCCTCAAGCCAGAAAAAGTGGATATCCTGGTCTTCTTGGCAAAAAGAGGCCTTTTTATAGAAGATGATCACAGTTTAAATCCCAGTCACAATATTAGTCAGATAAAACACAATTAGCTATTTTCCCCAAATCGTTCAGCCCTAGTGATTATCACCCAGCTTTTCCTGTGATCAGCTGTCACATGATGTTGGGAATACACTGACTTCTCCAATGGCAAAGTGACATGGTCTCTACAGCTACAGAAACATGATGGTCACCTAGAAATAGGTTTCGCCTTCTGAAATAAACTCAAAATGTTGCACAAAGAGAACAGAGCTTATATTTGAGGACTGTAAGACCAAGCTGTTGGCTGTAGTCCAGTCAGAATGATTGCAAGTCACAGCATTGTCTGATCACATGACCACGACAGCCTAATGTTAAAAACCGCAACGGTTTTACCTCAGAAATTACATTAATTTTTCCAAAACATCCCAAATGGAACTGTAGACACTGGATGCATCTTTAAACTACTACGATATTTCATAATGTACAGAACTGAGGCACATACTTTTGCCCCGCTTTATGAAGACGGCAAACCTGACTGTCTTCGTTTCTACTCTGATTCAATACACAATATACATTAATATTACTGTGCATCGTGTAACGTTAGGCTAGCAGGACCGTGTGCATTCCCAAGGTTATAAGGAGGAGGAGGGGTGCAAGGTAAGAAAATTCAGCATCGTACAGACAAACATCCACCACCAAAATCTTAACAACAGTGACAACGTCGTTAAAGACCATTTCGTTAATTCCCGTCACAATTAATATGATATTTATCCAGATGAATTTCTGCTGCGGTTGCACGTCAATGGAAATCGACCGAGAATGCAATGAATCTAGCTGGTTAGCTAACGTTACCTGGAACTAATGTCGTGTAAAATCACCCGGACAAAACACTGCGATGAATGAAAGCAGCACGATATCAAGTCAGAAATATCAAATACCTGAAATGAGGAAAGGGAGCCGAGATCTCTTGAGCCTGTTTTGCCGAAAAAAACCGATGAGAAATAAGCAACTAGGAAGGGTCAGCTGACTTCATTCACTCGATGGTTGTAGTGCGGGCTAATCAGAAACGGATCTACACAGTGCCACCTAGTGTGAGACTTTAAAACCATAGGTTTTTATAACACTGGACACGCCAGGTTTTTGTAATAACGCTACTCACACCAGGGTTTGGTAAAACTGCACACGTGTTTTTCTGCTCCAGTCATCTGGAGGGTTTTTTCTCAAAGCAAAAATCCTGCCGTTGGCAAAACCTAAGCCTGCCCAATAGAAGGAGAGATAAACGACAATACTGCTGGACTGTCATTATTTTTGGTTCAAACATCTCAGCTGACTGTGAAAATCTGCTTTACCCCCTGGTCTGCATATTTTCCTGTTTTTTCGTGCACATGAGCCACATGTGCTAAATCGCCTATGTTAAAGCAAGAAAAAACACCACACTGTGCAGTGCAGGTGGATTATAAGACTGGTCAAAGGCTCTACATATTGCTCAGTCATTATTCCCTTAAGGCTAAATATTTCACATACTCTAATACTCTATTTTTTTGAAGATTTAACACTGATTTCTTAATTTTAAAGCACGAATTTCACACACAACAATTCTTAAACACAATATAAAATACAATAAAATACTACTCTGCTCCAGGTTTGTTGTAGTAATTCGTTATTATTTTTATTTATTTGTTATTTATTAATTTTATTTATTTATTTACTTTTTTGTTTATTTTTGACGCACACATTTACACATCAGAGTCCTCGTCTTTCCTTACCTGCGGGGACTTTTATTTTGTGCGCTGAAACCTTCTAGGAATCACGCCACGTCCTGTGCGTTATTTCTCCCCGTTGCTTGTGTAGCTTGAGCAGTGAAGTTCGAATCAGTTTATCGAACCGATTCGTGCTAACTGTTCATTTGAATGAATCGAACGTCCGATTCAACGATTCATTGATTTAGAAGTCATGCCAACTTTCTGCTCCATGTACAATAAGATTCAAATCACAAGGAATCCAGCTACAGTCTACAGAGAGGAAAGTGAGGGAATTCAAAGAGCCTTTTATTTATATTTTATATGTTATATATTTATATGTTACAATGAGATATTTTGTGTAGTGATTTAATAATGTTAAAGTTAGAAAGATCTAACGGTCATAAATCACAGCGACTGAATTTGTGTTATAATCTTAAGAGACTTTTGCTATTTACCTGAGGGGTTTCATCAGTTTATCATATAATCATAATGTTGCACTATATATAATATTCTCATAATATTATAACATTTATCATTATTATTATTATTATTATTTGTAAGAGTAGTAGTAGTATTAGTATTATTATTATTAAGTTCAAGATTATACTACAAGTCCAGTCTCCTCTATGTACTGGTACTAAACAATTTATTAGGGTTACTGAACTGGATTATTAAAAACCTTCACAGTAGAATTTGCCAATATAACATATATATCTGTATGTCGTACAGATATATATGTATGTTGTATGTGTATTCATAAATAACAAGCATCATATCCATTATAACATTATCCCAATGTCTCAGGGTGCACAGGTTCATTAACGTTATTAATGCAAACTCAAATATCATCTGATAGTTATACTGTGACATACTGCATGTAAAAAAAACACTGTGGTACAGAAATGTAGTAGTGCTACATGTAGTAATGCTGCTCAGCACTACTTTATAGACAAATTGTAATTTGTCATTTTATTAGAATCATAACACTGATGTTAGCCTTCCTATTTCTCTTACTAGAAGTCTTTAGTCTTTGGTGGACGCTACAGAAAAGTTCCATTCAATTAGGACTTGTGAGTCGGTTCGATCGATTTATTGGAAAGAACCGGTTCAGAAAAAGCGATTCGTTCACGAGTGACAGCAGCGGCGGAGTTGAGCGCTGCTGCTAGTCCTTTAGCCAACATACATGTGGAGGGTCCGGAGAGAGTGGAGCTCCGCACAAACTTAGGACAAATCCTCTCCAGACTGGAAATATACTGTCGACGTCCTTTGCCTCTTTCACCTCAGACAAGTTCTCTTAAACATGAAAGGGTGAGTAAAACTCTCTACATTTGTCCATCTCGACTAAAAGTTTTTTTCTCCTCCTCTCTTCTTTCAGCAGGGGGAGGGGGGAGCTGCTGGCCGCGCTAGCCGCCTCTCAGCGCGGGGTGAGATGGTAGCGTTTACCACCGACATAGCCAACAGTTTTTGCAAAGTAAACCTTGTCGATCAAGAGCTGAGTTATCCAGCTAAAGTCCGAGAGATGTTATGCTCACCACAGTCCTTGCAAATTAACCCAGTGTCCCATAAACCCCGTGTGATGTCTGCTAGCTTAGCCTGAGCTGGAGTCTGAAAATGTTGAGTCAGACTACGAAAAGCTAGCTGGCTACATGGCTAGCCTGCTAAGTTGCTAACCATGCCTGCTCTTCGATAATAAGATATTTATGTGTCCGGCCCCCTTTCCAAGCCCTCTTTATACCTCTTAGGTTTGTAATTACTCTGGCTAACTTACCGTTTGGTGTTAAGGTGGGCTCTCTGAGTCCTGTAACACCTTGTACGTTAATAAAGGTGGCACATAATGTAGCTTAGCTGCCCACCTGCTTCCAGCAAATTAGCTAGCTTAGCTAAATACTAGTTTTTCAGTCTAGTAGTGCTGGATAGATACAGAGTCCTCTGGAATTAAGAGTTAAACCAATGTAAAATAATGAAATTAGTTAACGTTAGCAGTTGGCTAGCTAACAGTTGGATTGGCAGAAAGGTAGTTAACTTTGTTGAGTGAATCAAACTCCAGTCTTGTTGATGTGAGTGGGGTGTGAACCTCGTCCACATACTGTACATGAATCGGGGAACGCAGCAAAATACTGTAGCACTTTTATGGTTGGCTAGAAGCTTGAAAGTTTAGTAGTTTGTTGTTATTCAGAATTGATGTAAATTCTCACTGTACGATACTGTCAGAGTCTCAACGTGGGTTGGCAGCTAATGGGTCAGCAGCAACTTTTAAACTCACTCTGTATCTTTCTGGTGTTGATGCAATCTCTAACAGTCTGTTTAGTCCAGGTTTGTGCTAAGCTAGAGAATTACCAAATAAGTATACACATAATACATACCACATCTTCACTATTACAAGGACATGTAGCTTAAGTTTAGCTCAGTTAGTACAGTTAAGTAGGGAGGTGTCTTTTAGTGCCACCTTGTATTAAAGGGCCCATACTCTACATTGAAAACAATAGTAATAATTATAATAGTTTTTTTCCCTGATGTCCATCTTTAACATTTGTATGATTTTATGTAAAAAATATTTTTTACATGACCATTTTTCATCTCTCTTTAATGCTTAGAATTAAAGGGGAATTCCACAGATTATTCAAAATGTCCGCATAATTCAGTGGTTGAGATGTAAACGAAGTTATTCAAAGTGATTTAATGTGAAAGCGTTTATAGTAGAGAAACTTACCAACTCTTATTTGGGAACCAGGGGTCACAATGTCTACAACACAAATGTAGCCAATTTATTTACCGTTCAGAATGACCACTGAATCTACATGTCTTCTTTTTATATGTAGTGGTCACAGTAAAATAGCTGTAAATCTGAAAAAAAGTCACAACCCAGTGCACAACTATTTTGTCTTATAACACCCCTGTTATAGGCCAAAACCTGATATGAGAACATTGGTAAAACAAAGTCTCACACATCAGGTAATGTACTGATAACTTTGTATTGATAACTTTATTCGAGGCATTAAACACTTCAGACATCTGGTTCCTATCAGTGCCACTGTGAGCAATTTGGACTGGAGCATTTCACATCAGACCACTCCGCATCATACAATAATAAAAAAAAAAATATGTTAAATATAAATATATATTAATTTCCCCTTTGAACAGGTTGTTTATGTTACTGTGCTTTTTAGACTGATATACGTTAATGATCTCTCCCTCACTTAAAAAAAGTCTTGGCTGAAATGCTGCCTACAACTTCAGCATGAATGGGTGGGGCTAAATGCTGTAGAATAAATAAGTGAAATGGTACATTTTAAAACTTACCTGATGTTCCATGTATTAGACTAAGGAAACTTTTTCCCCCCCATGATATGGGCCCTTGAAAAACACCACATAACAAAGCCACTCTAGGTTAGAAAGCTGGACGTCCTAATAAACTGTACTTGTCGTGCTCTCGTTACCTTATCCTGCCACTGACTGTAGGAGTGCCGACCTAAAAACGTGACATGCAGCTGTTGTGTCGTCGTGGAGGATTAGCATGCAGTCGCCCTATAAATACCTCCGTACTCCTGGTGTCAAGTGGAGGCAATACAAACTTCTGGTGAACACTTCAGCTTGATAGTTAATGGTGTGTTGAACAGAGGGGTCTTATTGCTTGTTGCGGGCTAATTGGTTTAGTTTGCTTACTTTGAAATAAGCCTGAATCTCTGAGAGAACTTAAGCTAATATCAAATTAACTTAAATTAAGGACTGTATGTGTGCACAGTGGTTCCATCCTGCTGATATGAAGAGGGTAGTGATATCAGCTGAGTTGTTTTGTAATCAAGTAAGTTTCATTTCTGCTGTGTTGTTGGATCAAAAAGTGCATATTGTGGAGTATGAACTGCTTTCTTTTTCATTTTCTGGAATCAATGAACAACCAGTTGACCATTCTGCTTTTGTTCCAGTAGCCGGATCGAGCTGGGGGACGTTACCCCCCACAACATTAAACAACTGAAGCGTCTGAACCAAGTCATCTTCCCCGTCAGCTACAATGACAAGTTCTACAAAGATGTGCTGGAAGTAGGAGAGCTTGCTAAGTTAGGTAAGTTACAGAGTGAATTGTCCACACATGAGAAGTTTACTGCGTTGATGTTAACACAGTCTTTATCTTTCATTTTCATTGAACTTCAAATAGGTTTATATGAATTGCTTATGTATCAAATAGATAAATAAGGGTGGATGATATGAAAAATATAATATTGCTATACTTGAAGACATTTTCACAATAAACAGTATGTATTATGATGTTTCTTAGAGGTTTGTGAAGAAGTTGGAACTGAGAAAATTCACCAGCAAAGCAGTAGCTCCACATTTAAACAGTGTACAGTTATTTCTTTTGTGTTAATTGTGTTTTTTTTAATTATTGTTTGCAATTGTAAACTATTTACTAAGGAACAAGAGGAAATATCAGTTAATCTGCCAAAAAAGTTATGAATTAAGTAAGGATACACACTGACACCAGATTCATATCTGTATCAGCAGATAATTGCTTAAAAACAGTGTTATTATTTTAAAGATGCTTAGATTTGACCAGTACTTTAACATATATATGCTAAAATATCTGTACATTCAGTTTACTGCATTTATAACCCTGTAGGAATAAGACTTACATTTCTGTGTAATCCGTATCCAAGTTGATGTAGTCCCAATCTTTACATTTTTATAAATGTTTTATAAATGTTTATCAGCATCGGCAGATATACACAATATTGGATATCGATATCAACCTACGTTACCTATATCGGTGCATCTCTAAAAATCAGAAAATGTAACAAAGCACTGACATCTTCTGTACTTCTCTTATTTGCAGCATACTTCAATGACATTGCTGTGGGGGCAGTGTGCTGTAGGGTGGACCACTCCCAGAACCAGAAGAGATTGTACATCATGACACTCGGCTGCCTAGCACCCTACCGCAGACTGGGCATAGGTAGGGTTATTTTTAGAGAAAGCAAGATCAGACATGAAAAGTCTTCACAAAACAGTGATGGATTCATCCAGCATCTGATAATGGATTATTGTTCTTTTTTTTTCTTTATTCCATTATAGTTGAAATATAATTTCTTGGATATTTAACCCCTTAATGCTCACACGGCTGGCGATTCATCCAGACTTTTGTTACTCGCTCATACTTAAAAGAAGAGATTCTTCAAAGGTTCTTTAGTAAAGGCAATGATTCTATTTAAAACCATGTTTTTAGGTGTGCATAACGTAATTATAAGTAATTCATTTTGCATTGTTTTCCATGTAGTTACTGAATAATAAGCCTCAGGATGTGGATGTCAATGAAGCATACGAGATTAAAGAATGTTGTGAAAGTGCCATTTCGTATTCTTTGTTTAAACTTGGATAGACAGTATTTTATTCTGTTTTATATGTATAAATGTTCGTGATGTATGTGCCTCATGCATTTTTTTTATCCATATTGTCTTGTTTGTTTAAAGGAACAAAGATGCTGAACCATGTGTTGAACATTTGTGAGAAGGATGGCACTTTTGACAACATTTACCTGTAAGTTATTATGGTGATTTGTCTTAATAACTTTGATTAAACAAAACAGTTGAAAACAGAAGAACTATAAAGCCAATAAAATTTAATGGAAACAGCATATGCAAAGAAGTATGATGCATGAAGAAGTTATGTGCACATGATTGCAAGATCTGTTAAGAATAGGGATGTAAATGATTAATTGATAACTGTTAACCAACTAGTGGAACAGTTGTTCAACCAAAGCTTTTGGTTTATAAAAAATAATGATTTACATAATTTGCAAAAAACAACGCCTTCTACTTGAGGCAGTTGGTTCTGCTGAGTAGACCAACTAAAACAATTAAGCGTGCAGCTAAAAATAGTGGTGTTCAGGACAGCTTTAGAAGAGGACAATAGCACAACTGCAGCAATGTACCATGTCGAAGGCAAACCTCCAGAAGCAAAAAGACAACTATTTTGTCCATGTTTTCCGAAAGAAAGTGTGATGCAATGCAGTGAATGGAATTCATGTGCAGCGGTGACGGCTTTCAAGAGCTACTGAGCCAAAGTTAAGCCCGGCATGGCATTTATGCTTGTTTTAACTTGAGCAAATATTGAGTAGCAAATATAAGAATAAAATTTTAGAAAACTTTTTAGAACAAGTTTTAGTAGCCCATTATTATATATTCCTGTCAGTTGGCTAGTTTGAGTATATTATAGTTATATATATATAGTATATAGTTAATCAGTTTAAATAAAACCAGAGATATATGTGTGATATATAAACATTTATACCTGGCCCCACCTATTAGTGTTGCACAAGGAACACTTTTTAATGTCTTGATGCATTTTTAGAGAATTCAGTTGACATGTGTGCTCATAAGTGTACATACATCAATATTTTACAGTGACTTTGAATAAGGAGCAGCCAGTCAGATTTCAGAACCCGAACAATCCACTTTATAATTGATGTTTTTGGGTTGTGTCTGATTTTAACAATTAATCGCCGGCTAATGACAGTCGTTTATTGGTCAAAAGAATTGGCCAAAATTGGCATCACTAGTAAAGAATATTACATACAAGTGTCAATGTTTTAATCCTTTTAATCTGTTTTTTTTTTCCTCCTCAGTCATGTGCAGATCAGCAATGAGTCTGCAATTGACTTCTACCAGAAGTTTGGCTTTGAGATCATTGAAACAAAAAAGAACTATTACAAGAGGATAGAGCCTGCAGACGCCCATGTTCTCCAGAAGAGCCTGCGTAGCCCGTGTGCACCACCAGCGGGAGAGCTGCAGAAGGCTGAGTAGGGGCCTAAGCGCTGAAGAGATTGGTTTTTGCCCGTACTCTCAAAATGGAACTGTGACAGATGCCCCGGGGTCTATAGATACACCACTTTTTCAGAGGGCAATTTAAAGAGAAAAACGAGTCCATGAAAAATTGCTGCATTTTATTTTGCAAAAACAAAACTTAAGTCCCCATCAGTTTGCGTTTTCCTCTTCATTTAGAGATTTGAAATTAAACATTTTTTGTTGTTTTTTTTTCCAGGCAGAATACATAAGTGCTCCAAAAAGCTGCTTACTTGTTACAGAGTAGACATGGTGAAGGTTAACTATGTAAGCATACTGTTTGCATTTTGTTTTTAAGTTGTTTAAAGGCAAGGGGACATGACTGTTGTTTGGACAAGACAATAGAACTAAAAGAGGGGGAATCCTTTCAAAATAGGACTATTGTTGACTATAGATGGTCCTAGCTGGCAGCCTTGGAGTCATGCTACGGACGGTATTGGTGACTTTCGGAACTCGTCACCTCACCACCTGGGCCCAAGGACACATGGGAAGGAAATGCTCCTGGTGGTTGAGACATGTTTTATTTCACAGGCAGAATGCAGTGGAGGACCATTGCATGTGATGCAGTGTCTCCTGGTGATGTCAGCCTCTCCAGCCTGCCTTGAAGCTAGCCCAGAGAGGAATAGGATCAATTGCCCCCTCAAATCAGGGGGACCTTGGTTGGTAAAACGGTTCGAGAGTGTGAGAGTTTGGAGGAGTGGACTCTACTCTCGTTTCTGAATGTGTTTGTTTTTCTGCCCATTATTTAATATCCCCTTAATTTTTTTTTGCATAATTGCTGATTAGTTCATGGCTTTTCCTGGGGTGCTGTTGGTGCTTCAGATTGGAGAAAGGATTTTGAGTGCCAGTTATGGAGAAGAGGTTTGCTGTTGGTACAGTTACCCCAGAACCTGAGACCCTTTCCCCATGTTGAGCCCGGTATTGAAGCATGTGCCTTGCCATAGGCTCACATTCCACATAAAATCAGGGTGACGGGCTTTAATGAAACGAGTTGTCCAACCTTTTTTCAACTTAATCCTCATATGCAGCATCTGTAGCATACAGTCACTTACAACAAACAGCAGTTTTGAGTCCTGTCTGTGGAAAAGAACAGAAAATCCATGCTTCAGTGTGTGCACATTGGCCTCCGAGTATGTTTGGCATCAGTGGGTTGTCTGTCCTTTTCTATATACACAGAATTGTATGTCATAATCATATGGAAGGACATTCACACCAGATAGCCTTCACTGTCTTCACAGAATAATGACTTATTGTGTCAAAATATTGACTTAGTATGTTGAAATAATGACAATTATCTTGTATTAATGACTTTATTTATGACGTTAAATTTAATAACTTAATTATTTTGGCAAAATATTTCAAAATCTTGAGAAAATAAGACTTTATATCACAATATTAAGTCAGTATGTTGAGAAAATAAGTCATTTTTGAGATGGTAAGTCAGTATTTTGACTTATGGCTGCCAGAAACAGAGGAGAAACATGAGCAAAAATTTTTTGTCCTCTGCCTGGCAGAAATTCCCTGCAATAGACCATATGCTACAAATGAGGTACAAAGACATTAGGTTAAACTTTGGAATCTTCCTTTAACTCATCAGATAGATATTTGGACCTCCTCGTCCTTTTTTGTTCATGTGTTTGTCCTGTGAATATTGCTTTTTAATTGCTTTAGATTGTGGCAAAAATAGGCACTTAAAGTTTCTGCAGTAGACTGTCTGTAGACAATGCCAGCATCTTCAGATTATGTGGTGTCCATCTATTTAATTTGGAATTTTGAACCATTGGAAGTTGGTGGCAATGTCTGTTGGCAGTATTTCAGAAATTGTTTTTTATTTTTTGGAACACTGCCCCTTTTCCTACCCCAAAATAAAAGCAAAGGCAATTAAAGATGTTAACAGAAATGAAATTTTATTTGTGATTTAATAAAGCGTAAGGACACATTTACTTTGAATGTATGCCTTTGGCAAGGCCAGTGATTAATTTCTGGACTCTACATGAAGGTTATTCATGTGGTACAAACGTATTCGCCTCATATTCTGGGTAGTATGCAAAATCCTGAAAGGGTTGTAATGAGTTTCGTTTGATGGTGGCCTCAGCCTGAGTTTTAGTTCTTCAGCGCTCAGACACTGTGCGGGATGGTTTTTCATTATTTGCAGAGTCGCAGGTTTGGACCTTAGCAGTCTCCTCTTTGGAGTGCTGGCAGCTAAAAATCTTCCCACGATGCACTGCTATCATTTCAGTGATGTTCACTGACAACCATCCGTTTCCTAAGTGCATTGTGGGATTGTTGCAGTTTGGTAATATAGGTTCCTTATGCAGAACTTGGATGCGAGAGCTGGACCCCAGGAGAAGCCTTGATGCTGCATGCCAGGAGGGACATGCCCTCTTCATTGTAGTTCAAGCATGTTTTTCTTTCTTTCTTTGGAGAATTTTGTCTTTTCTGGAGCTCTATATTGTAAAACTTTTAAACCTCTAAATAAAAAAGTACTATTTGCATTATTTGCCAGAACATGCTGTTAGAATGTAAGTGCACAGAAGACAAAGAAGGTGGATGTTTGACATTGTGAGGCTCAAAAAGTCCTGAATAATAAGGGCAGTGTTACATCCGAAGAATGTTGATATAGCTGTGTGCAAAAGTTTTGGTGCCCTTGGTCATGTTTTGTTGCTTTTCAAATATATATATTTTCATATATATATATATATATATATATATATATATATATATATATATATATATATTTCCCAACATGTTAAACTCGAAAGCAAATAAATAGAAATTGTGCAGAAATTGTTCAGAAAGAAAGCCATTTTTACGTTTTCTGTAGAAGATATGTTAACTTTTCACTTATATAATCAAAAAATTGTCATTCGATCAAGGGTGTTCAAATTTTTGCATACAGCTGTAGTTTCCCAGAACCGGATTGAGTCTAAGCCTAGAATAAATGGGGATTTCCCTGGTGAAACACCCTCACCATTGCAATTTAGTCCATGTCTGAACTTACATCACGTCTGATGAACCAACTCAGTATGTCTACAAGTGGTAAATTTTGTTGCTAATTTTTTTAATGCAGGTTGTCTTATTTTGTTTAGCAAAATACAAAATGTTTGGCTGGGTGATTTAGGGACGCCATTTGACTTGGGATAAATATAGATACCATGCAATATATTTACTAGAGGGGAATCATGGCTATAAACTTTGGGCCAGTTTCTTAGACCCAGACTGTGGCTAATCCCATAATAAAAAGAATTCCCAATGGTGATTAACCATTAGCGTTGCAGTTTAGTCCAAGACTAAGCTTAATTCATTTCCGGGAATCCGGCTCTGTATGTCCAAATGTATCCTGACAGGCCTTTTAATCAGTGAATTTGGCTACTTTAAGGTGTGCTCGTTGCTGACACAGGCAATCTATTCTGCTCACAGCTTGTAAAAGCATTGCCAGCAGAATGGGGCTCTCTGGCAGCCGCACATGAGCCGTGCCTGTCAGCTAGAGGGGGTATAAGCCCCCATCACTGGACTGTGAAGCAGTGGAATGGTGTTCTCTGAAGTATTGGAGCACCATCCAAAACCTTTGGGATGAGTTGGAGTGGCGTTTGTGAGCTAGAACTGATCATCCTGACCTCACTATGCTCTTGTAGCAGATTACATTCACAACTAGTGCCATACCAGACTGTTACTGCAACAAAGGGGGATCAAACTCTTTATTAATACTCTTGATTTCAGAAGAAATGTTGTATGAGCAGGTGTCTACAAACTTTCGGATATATAGGGTCGGTTTTTCAGACACAGTCTAAGCCTAGTCTTCGACTAAAGTGCAGAGCCAGTGGTGAATCACCATAGGAAATTCTTTTTAATCTAGGATTAGTCTTAATGTAGGCCTGGGAAAGTGGCCCATAGTAGAACTTCTCTCTTTTTTGGTTACCACAAAGTGCACAAAGGATGAAGTTTCATACTGGGTGGTCATTGTTGTGAGGCTCAAATATACTGAACCTTCAGGGACACATTTATTTATTATTTTTTACTTTTATACATACACACACTGATCAACCATAACATTAAAACCACCACCTTATTTCTACACTCATTGTCAGGACCCCCAAAGGACCACCACAGATCAGGTATTATTTGGGTGGTGGATCATTCTCAGCACTGCAGTGACGCTGACGTGGTGGTGGTGGATCAGACACAGCAGTGCTGCTGGAGTTTTTAGCACTGTCCACTCACTGTCCACTCTATTAGACACTCCTACCTTGTTGGTCCACCTTGTAGATGTGAAGTCAGAGACAGTAGCTCATCTGTTTATGCACAGTTTGTGTTCATCAGTGGTCACAGGACTCTGTTGAGTGGAAATTTCTGGTTGGTTGACTATTCTCAGTCATGCACCGCTGCTGTGTCTGATCCACTCGTGCCAGCGCAGCACACACTAACACAGCACCACCACATCAGTGTTACTGCAGTGCTGAGAATGACCCACCACTCATATAATACCTGCTCTGTGGGGGTCCTGGCAATTTAAGAACAGGGTGAAAGGGAGCTAACAAAGTGCTCCTGTATGGTAAGTGGAGCTGATAAAGACAGCGAGTTTAGAAACAAGGAGGTAGTTTTAATGTTATGGCTGATCTGTGTATAAAAATGTTTTAGGCAGAAACATCATAGGAATATCGTCCCCTTGGAATTATGAAGTTACATTTTTATAACATTTATTTTTCATTTTAGGATAAATCATCTTTTTCTTATTTTAAAAAGCATTGCAGTTTAAGTTTTAGTCCAGTGCAGAGGTCAGTTTCAGGTAGGAACCATTAGTTTAAGTGTCCTTTAGGTTTCACAGCAACCAGCTATAATGAACTGTCCCAGCGAGCAAGTGTAGCCGGTCAGTATGAAGGCAGCAAGGTTTTTTATCAGAAACGTGACTCTAATGACCCAAAATCTTTTATTTTTGGAGAAAGAAGGAAAAATGTTGGATGAATGAATACAAATCTGATGTTTATGTTGTAGATAAAACCCCATTAATTCAATGTACACCATTTAATTGCCTTTCAAGTCACTGAGCAGTGCGGCGACATGATAAAGAAGCAGAACCTAATGGTCCTCTTGTGTGTATTCGAAGTGCTGATTGGCTCGCAGATAGACCCTTATAGAACTAAGTTAGAGTTTTACTTTGGAGATGGGACCTTTTTGTTTTCTAGATAAAGACTCCAAAAATGCATACAACTCAGAAACACATAATGTTTAGAAGTCACAGAATAAGAATATATGAAAAACTCAATTTTGACAAAAATGTCAGGTAGAACCTTATAATTCCAAGGGGCCGATATGTTCTACTATAGATTGTTTTGTCAAGAAAAGATGGATAGTGATTGGCTTCGGTAAATATGCAGGTGGAAAAGCACGTTATTATATTCACTGTAAGCAGCAGTTTATCCAAATTCTTCGATTGCTTAGGTATTGATTATCTAAGGATGAACCACGCACGTTTCCTTCGTCGTAGCTCCTTATTGGCCATCATTCTTATTCACCGCCGTGATTGGGCGACTCTTTGATTTTGCCCGCCCACTTTACTTGTGTCAGGCATTGGAAATATGAAGTGAATTGAAAAGGATCAACAAAGTTTTTGACGGGGGGCATTTTTTTAATATTCGGTGCGGAATGCAGGAGCTGTTGGTAGGTTTTCCATGTCTTAAAGTCTATCGGACTCGAGGCTGTTAGCCAGCTGATATTTTTGGTTAGTAAATCACCAGTGTGCAAGAAGCACAAAATAAGCTAGCCGAGAGGCTAATTCAGCCACCGCTAGCTAGTTGTTTTTAGCTCAGTTGCTAACTAGCCGTAGCAGCTTTGAGTAGCTGTTCTTAAAAGTAAAGAAATGGTTGTCAGCGTTGTTTTTCGTTTTTTAACTCAGTTTATAGCGTCTGTATGACTGCAGCTGGCAGTCCTGTCCACAACACAGGCGTATAGCATTTTAGGAGGTTATCTAGATTAGCTAAGCTAAGTTGTGCTGTCAGTGTCAAAGTCGTTTTGTTGCCTGACACAGTGTAGCTAACTCAGAGTCTCACCTCAGTCCAGTATTTCATTGCTCTAAATGTTCGTTCAGACCATCTAAAATAAACTGTTGTTTAATGATACTTAGTTGTGATGCTGGCTAACCTAGGTTAGCTAGCTAGCTAACTAGATAGCTTTGGCGATAGCCAGCTAATTGAATAAGACTGCATGTAAGCTAACTGACCCCGTGCTCTTTTCTTAGGGGTTTCAAAGTACGCTTAATATGAATTTAAATTACTCGTGTTACATTGCACAGTCCATGTAGCTAACGATGTAAGAGTTGCCTCATTTTCCACATTGTAGTGCTAAAATGCATTGGTGACTTCAGTCTGTTGTGTTTGTCTCGGACCTGTCTTCCTCGTAGCTCAGCAAAATGTAGTGTGACTAACTTAGTGATGTTGAGTACTGTAGCTAAGTGATCGAAAGACATGAGCTTATGGTGTAAACGCGTCTTTGCTAGGCGGAATAACGTGAATAAGACGATTACTTGACAACTTCTTTCGAGGCGCTAAGGCTAAGTTGGATTCTACTCCTGTGAAAGTCAACAATAAGTTGTCTGGAAGAGAAAACTCCTTTATGACATTAGCACTCTGAGACTTATTAAGATACAGGGCTGCAGTTTCAAAATGATGTTTTTGCTTCCTTCATATAAGGTAGTTGGTACTGCTTAGAATAGGAGAGGTATGCTAAATGTCCTAAAGTGCAGATATCTGCTCATCCAAGGATATTACCAGGGAGTTTGTCCTCTCTTACTCTGCAGTAACTGCCTGTACTCTTCTAGGAAGGCTTTTACACTAGATCAGGGGTGCCCAACTCTGGTGCTAGAGGTCAGTGTCCAGCACAGTTTGGGAGTTACTCTACTCAAACACACCCATTAAATCTGGCAGTTAACAAGGGAGCTATATCAGGTATGTTTGAGCAGGAAGATTATCATTTTGTGCTGGACACCTGCCCTCCAGGAACAGAGTTACGCACCCCTGCACTAGATGATGGAACATTGCTGTGTGGATTTGACTGCATTCAGTCATTAGTGAGGCCTGGTAGTGATATTGGATGATTAGTGCTGGATCACAAACTCCACTCAAGCTCATCCCAGAGCTCTCCATAGAGCTCCATAGGTCCAGACGCAGTTCCATTGCTCCACAGCCCAGTGCTTGGGGCCTTATACCCCTCTAGCTAATGCTAGGTGTTGAGTCTGCAAGCCTTGTGTGCGGCTGCTCTAAAGTGTTATGTTCTATTGGCATTGCTTTTCTATGGAAATTATACAAGTTGTGTGTGCACAGTTGAACACCTCTTTTAGCAATGGGTGCACCTTAAAGAAGCTGAACTCATTAATTAGAAGAGATGTCTGCTTCCTTGTGGATGTAGTCTAACAATTTCATTGGGACCTGGGAAACATGAAAATTGGGAGTCATTAATTAGGCCCTCAAACTTGACAGTGATAGCAATCTTAGAATAATTTTCTTTTGCTTTGGCTTTTGCAGATAATTAGTAATTCTTGTATTCTTGTATCTTCTTGTATTTTTGCTTGTCTGCAATTTACTTACTTCACAGTGAGTACTTTCATGAAGATCTCAGGGCTGTGGTTCCTGAGACTTTTAAGCTGGCGCACGTAATACTCCCTTGCCCACTGCTGGAAGGTAGGATGTGTTTATAGCTCTATTTCGTTCTCTGTCATAGATTTAACAGCTGGTTAAATGTGTGTTGAGTTTTCTTCAACCTGATTTTGGTTTCTCACAATGTATTTCTGACAATACAGGCTGCAGTGTGTGCCACAATGCCGGAGATAATACAGAACCAGCCTCCTACTCAGAAACCAACAAAGTAGTTATTAAGTTTTACCCTACTGCATAACTGTGACACAGCCATTCTTATTAAATTTTAAGTTTTAGTTATGTTGATTAAATGCTAGTTATGTGCTAATTTGTTTTTCTCAATGTCAGGAGGAAGAAGAACAAAGAGACGCACAATGCAGGTGAGAAAGTAGATTTATGAATCTTCAGTACTTATTTAGGTGTAGGTTAGTGCCTGTAGTGTGATTACCATAGCACCTTGTATTGAGGATCAAGTGTTTACCTGGATAGGTAGATAGAAATGTATCTGTATTATTAGCATACTAACTGGGTAATAGTTATTTAAGACTATCATAATGGTTTGTGGTTTTATCATGTTAGATTTATTCAGCTGATGTTTAGACCTGATATAACAACACAAATGATTATATTTAAGCTTATTAACATATTTGCAATATATTTATTTCAATAAGGGTTGATCCCCTGTGTTTATGCTTAAATTATAGGCAATATATTGGTAATACATGTCAGTATCAGGTTTGCTTTCATGCCTTTGTCTATTATGGTCCAATAACTAGTTTCTGACACTATACTTTTCCTCCCTTTGAACTGTATTGCTCCCAGTTCGCTGTACCTAGCTAAACTTGAAGTTTTCAATTATTGGATTACGCAGTATACTTTTTTAGGGATGTGATATGCACTTGAGACTGTGAATGTAGTTTGAATGCACTAATTGCACATGAATATTATTCCATTGTAGAGATGCTCTTAGGTTTCAATGAAAGCATTTACTGTTTTTTTTTGTTTGTTTGTTTGTTTGCTTGTTTTTGTTTTATTTTTTATTTTCACATTCACATTTTGTTTGCTTCTGCATAATATGACTGTGAAATCTAACAACTGTGGAAAACGAATGCAGTTGGCTTAAATAATTGCAATTAGGTGATTACATAATAATTGTGACAGTGTTTAAACCCACTTTGGTGATTTCATAAAGCATGGATTATAATTTCCACCTGTGTTTTTTCCCCCCTCCCCCCCTGTTCTTTGTTAATGTTTTATGACTTCACTTATTCAATAAACGCTCATATGTCTTATTCAGTGGAAAGACACCGCAAAGAGAAGATCAATGCTGGTATCAAACGAATTGGAGACCTCTTGCCCTGCTCTCAGGCCTTAAAACAGGTAACACACAAAATAAAACAGGCTGTCAAGAATTGTGCAAGGTATATGGAATGATTGAATTGCAATAATTCTTAACGGATTTATTTTTTATTACAGAGTAAAAATATGATTCTGGGTGAAGCATTTCGTTACATCACTGAGTTAAAGCAGCAGAATGATGAAATGCTGCTCAATGGAGGAGACAAAGTACAAGGTAAGAGATGACTGCAGCTAGGGTGGGTGGGATGCTAATTGCAGTTTGTAAGTTCTAGTAACCAGATGTTGTTTCCTGTAGTGAAATAATGCTTGTGTGTTTTAGGATGTTATTAAATGAAATGCTCAAAATGCGACCTCTTCAACTTATGTTGACAACAGTATTGATCATATCTCTGCAGCAGAAGAGATAAAACGCCTACGGCAGCAGTTGGAGGACTTAAGAAAGGAGAGTGCTCATTACATCGAGCTCCTTAAAGCTAATGGCATCAACTTTCTGGATGACCCCACTATACACTGGAAAGGCAAGCAACGCTGTACAAAAGTAGCGAAAATAACACCAACTCACTTGATGTCAAAGGGGATAATTGTGTACTCTAATGGGAATTCTACGGCTTGTTCTACAGCTAAAACATGCATTCCTTCAAATTCTGTCTCTCACATTGATAAGCAACCAGTAAATGCTATAAGCATCCAGCCATCTTGTGACATACAAATGGGTGCAGGTCAAACGCTTGGTGTTACAGATGGAGCACAAATAAATGAAATAATAGTCTCCTCTACTGCATCATCGCACATTCCACTGGCCACTCTGATTCCTGCTGTGTCTAAACCCTGCCTTGCAGTTGTAGAACAATACACTGCTGTGGCACCAGTTGCACCAAAATTGCCCCCTCCTGTGAATTATATTACTCTTCAAGGCTTATGTCCGAAGCTTGCGGTCACTGCACCTCTTCAGCAAACTCAGCCAGCGAACCCAACATCAAGTCTTGCATCTTCCACCAGTCTCACAACACCTCTTCAAATTCAGCCTGTAATTAGTCTTACCTCCTTGCCTCAAACAGTAGTCAATAACCCCCTTGTGTCTGATGCTTCTTCAGTGTACCAACAGGATACTGAAATAAGATCCCTTGCCCATACATTACCAACCAGCTCTACCCATCACAGGACCAGTGCCGCTAGCAGCACACAGACTACATGGACAACACTACAACTCACTGGTAACACAGTACAGCCTGTTTGTCAAGCTCTGGCCACAGAATCCAGTAACTCTGGGCAGAATGTTCAGCAGCTGTCTGTATGTCCAGTTGTGGCCAATCCCCCAGTGCATCCCACTCATTTCCAGTTACAAACGCAAGTCTCTATGCAACCACAAACCCCTGCACCAGCACACCTCCCTGTACAGTCTAGACCTCCCCATTTGTATCCAGCTATACTTCCTCAGACAGCTGTAGTTACTCAGGCATCACTTTTATCACAGGCAACTGTGGTGTCTCAACCTGCAGTGCTTCATCAGCCGTCTGTTGTACCCCAGACAGCATTATTGACTCAACCACAAACAGCTGTCGTGGCTCAGCCTACAATATTACCTAAAGCTGTTCCTCCAACCCAGTCCCACTCTTACCCAGCCATACAACCTAAGCCTCAACTTCACCATGCTACACCACCTCAGCCTGATCCCCAACCTGCTATGCCATCTCAGCCTCAAGCCCATCCAGCTGTAATGCCCCAGGCCCAGTCTGCCATTGTGCCTCCACTTCAGCACACTGTTGTGCCCCAGCCTCAAGCTGCCACACTGCCAGTACTTCAGGCCATGCAGGTTCTGCAGATGAACTCTGATGGGACGTCAGTTATTGGGACAACTCCCCCTCAAAACAATCCAAATGTTGTTATTCTGCAGCAGGCCAGTCCATGTCCAGCTCCACAAGTAATTAGAGAAGATGTAACTAGTCAGACGCCATGCCAGCACATAGTCATTATCCAGACACCAACCATGACACCTGCTCCTCAAAATCATCCAACGAGTATTGTGCCAGCTACAACCCCTACTTTGCCTAACCAGGTAACCACTTCGAACTCCCCCTGTACCACCTCTGTCCAAGCAAATGTGACAAAACAGCTGGTTCACATCCTCCCTCGTCCATCTACACAGGTGCAGACACAGACACCCCAGACTATCACTGTGAATGGACAGGTTTATGTTTTACAGTCAGTGAAGTCAGCTGAGAAGGGGAGCTCTCAGGTTAGCCAAAGTGCTACACAAATCATTCAACCCACCAGTGAGGAATCCAATGCCAATGTTGCATTAAATTGTTTGGGTGCCCTCACTAGCCTTAGCCAGAGCATTTCACAGGTCTCAAGTCAAAGCAATTTACAACTACACACCATTGCTCCACCCTCAAACACTACAGTACAATCTTCTCCAGCCAAGCCTGTCTCGGTATTCAGTGCTTCTGCTGAGACAGTTCTGCCCCCTACTGTCCCTGTGTCGTCAGCATCAATCAGTTGTGCGGTTAACATCCTGCCAAACAAGAGTAGTGTGGTCCCTGTTAGCCAACCAAAACAGATGTCTGCTAAAAGGGCTAGATCAGCCAGGAGAAAAGAGCCGAAACAGAGGAGAAGCATGTGCCGAATTGCTGCAAGGCCAGCACATAAAAAGGCCTCCGAGAAAAATGTTACGGAAGGACTTTCGTCCACTACAACAGACATTGAATTCATGAATTCTACTGGTGAAGATAAGAGCATTAAAACTAACACTCAGACCAAATCTGTGGTCATCAGTGTTGCTTCAACATGCAGCAGTTCTTCAGCCATCTGTGTTAGTTCAAGTAGTAAAACAACTGACAGTACTGTCTGTTCTTCAACAAATGGATCTAAGGTGACTTCCCTAGTGGATGGAGCATCAAAAAGTAAAGAGAATTCTACTGATATCAACACCTCATCCCACAGTTTAACGGTTAGTACAGTTAATACTGCTGTAAGTTCACCGCAGGGTAGTTTAGCAGTCCATACAAATAGTGGTGCCATTTTAAGTTCTGATATTGACATTCAACCAAATGAGTCAACAGGTAGTGTTGTTCTATCCTCACAGTGTAGCACATTGGACAGTAGTTTTCAAGAGACAAGATCAGTGATGAGTGGTAATTCCACAACCAGTGCACTGACTGAAACAGTTTCTCCAAACAAGTTGGCCAACAGCATTTCTACAAGCTGCAGACCAACACAATCAAATGCCAGTTTAGCCCAGGATAAACCGACATTGGCCAGTGTTAGCTCTACAGAAAATAAATTGGTGGTTTCATCTGTTGATTCTGCACTTCACCTACCACAGAGTACTCATTCAGACACCAGTGTTGGTCCAACAAAGAGTGGACCAGCAGTTTCCCTCTTGCAGAACATTTCACAAGTTCAAGCTAAGCCTGCAAGAGAGGCTAACTGTAAATCAGTGGACTCTCCACAGATTCAGACACATTTTCCTTTGCCTGCAACATCAGCTTCTTGTTCAGGTCCATCTATATCACTACCCTCAGACTCAGCACCCCCTGTTCTGTCTCAAGGGTCTAGGAACACTTTTGGCAAGCCACGTAAACAGCCAGAAATTAATATCCCTATGCCACCCACTAGTCGCATTGATTCTATGAGTGTCAAGCTCACAGAATCAAATCCGAGCAAAGAACCTGTCAGAGGTGAACATTCAAGTGAAACCCCAGCGAATGTAACAGAAACAGAGTCGTTCTCACAAAAAGAGACTGTTCTTTCACAGGAGGCATCTAATTTGGAAAATGAATCCTTTGAGTCCCCACTAGCAACAAATAGACAGACTGATTCACCAATGGCAGGAGGTTCAGGTAGCCGGGGATTTTCAGTTGCATCGTTGCTTCCAACAGGGCAAAATAATACAGCTTGTCCTAATACATTTGGAGCTTTTAGCTTCACCTCTGAGCAGGCAGAAATCTTAGCAATGGCTGCTAGAGCCATATTTGAGCAAGACAGCCCATCAAGAAGGAGTAGTAGTTGTAGTGGTGACAACCCATCAAGTACACCTGCCACTGGTTGGGATCTCCCAAAAACACAGCAAACCCCTATCATCAAAGAAAGGGTCACAAATCAGCAGCTAAAGCAAGCAAAGCAGGCTGACTTAAATGTGTCAAAGACTCCGTCACAGGTTTCGGTCCGAGGTCCTCTGGTTGAGGTTTCGGGTAGTGGTACAACTGGTGTCCGACTTCCACTGAGCATGGCTTATTCTCAGTCGCAACCTAGCACCCTCACTAGTCTTAATGTCAACAACCTTATCAGGCCAAGCTCTATCCAGCCTTACCCAGGGTCTCCTAACCTTGGTCAGCAAGTATCTGTTCCATCACCAGGGGGCGCGGCAATTCTGGTGTCTCAGTCATCATCTCAGGTTACGCCAAGCTGCTCTGGCCCAGGGCAAGTTAATGAATATACACCTTTGAAAAGTGCCCTGATGCGGACACATGTAGGCACGGGAATAGCTGAACGACATCAGAAAGATATGCCAAAACGTTCTGCCCAAGAGGACCTTGTTCTTCCTATTAACAAGCGTTCAAAGCCATGCCCAGCTGCCAGTGTTGGAAGGATAGATGTTAAGGCGACAGAACATGTCCAAGTGATGTCTGGGCAAATGCCCCCTAGCTCCTCAACAGTTATGACAAGGAATCACTCTGATGGAGGAGGGCCGCTCTTTTCTGGTAACACTTTCATGAGCACTGTGCTTCGGCCATCTGAAGGACACTGCCCTACTCAGCTGGCACCCCAAGAACAAAATCAATCTGGTGTTGTGCACCTTCAACAGGGGCACACACAGCATGGCACTCCACAGCCTGGCCAGAATGTAGGAGGCAACCTTTACCTCAAACATCAGCAACAACAGGAGCAGCAGAGACACCTCTACCAACTTCATCACCATCTTACACAACCAGACACTCAGATCCACGGTATTCAGCAGAGGACTTTGCTACAAGATCAGCATGTTCACAAAAAGAGAGTAGTGCGTGGTGGTCAGACAGGGCCTCCTGTTGGTTTGCAGAAACAACATCACTTGGAAAAGAGTGGTGTGCAGCAGCAACAACAGCATCCACAGCAGCAGCACCAACCGCAGTCTCAGCAGCACCAACAGCAAGCTCAGCAACACCAACAGCAGCAGCAGCAACAACAGCAGTCCCAGCAGCACCAACATCAGCAGCAATCACAGCAACACCAATCGCAACAAAAACAACAACTTTCCCAACAGCAACAGGCACACCAGCAGCAACAACAGCAGCAAATACAGCAACAGGGCTCACATTCACGCCATCAGCATCTTCAGCAGCAGATTCAGCAGCAGCAACACTTTAGCAGTAGACAGGAAAAGAATTGTGAGGGCCAACAGGCTGGTCCCAGGACTCATCAAAGCGGCCATTTAAATCAGCAGGACCGCCAGCCTGGGCAGGATCATGGAGCTATGCAAAGACTAATGGGTTCTCGCACTTTAGAACAGCAGTTGACCTCTCAGGCTAGCAATCCTGTTTCTCGGTCATCAGATCTTGCCTGTACTCCTTCACGACAGGAACGCCATCGCCTCTCTAGTTATTCTGCTGAAGCACTTATTGGTAAGACTTCATCTGCTGGTGACCAACGCCTAGGGCTTCATCTCCAGGCCTCTCGTGGCAATTCACAGGATCAGTCAGAATTACAAGTTTATGTTGACTCCTCGCGTGGTAAAGGAAATATTGCTCACAATCCTCAAAGTAGGCTACCCCAAGATCACCCTGGAACTGCAGACATCCAACGAATTTCAGAGTGTTTGCCTTTCAAAACTCTTGTTGGTGGACATCAAATAAGCAACTTCGAAGTGCAGGTGTCTCGAAGTGGTGACATGAGCAGTAAATCTGTGGCACCAGTTCAGAGGGGTCCTCAAGCACAAGCAGGGTTCAGAATAGGGGCTGGTCCTTCTGGGGATGGACGTGCCCGTGGTAATTATGGGACACATCCTTCAGCACAGGGGGTACAATCTGGAGCAGGGCTGCCACGTGAGCAAGATGCATGCCACCAGAGCTTTATGCAAAGTCTCTTGGCTCCGCACCTTCCTGATCAAAGTGGACACCAGAGAGCTACACAGGTATGCCAGTCATCAAGTGTAGAGTATAACTGTGTTCCTGGGGTTTCTTCTGGAGACCTACAGGCAAAAGCCTCAAGTCCTAACTTGCACGCTACACAGACTGCTCCTCCCATGCACCTTGGGGACAACAATAAAGGACATATTTCTCAGGTTAGTGGGAATTTGCATGGCTCTGCTGTGAGATCAGTTCTCCCCCATCCTCCTTCAACACCACACAGTAGCTCAGATACAGGGCGTGCACAAGGCTCCACAAGGTCTCTTTCAGCTGTCAGTCAACGAACTCACCATATTGGACCAGATCCGCAAAGCACAAAGATCCGTCCAGTAGATCGACCTAGATCAGGCAACTTGAGACCGGTAAACTCATTTGAACCTGAGGGTTCCTTGACACTTCCATCAAGTGGAGGAGTATTGCTTGGACGCCCACAGACAGGTGGTGAAAGTCGACGTAGAAGTATTGTGCGTTTCATGGCAGATGGTGCACAGGTCAGCAGTGACAACAACTTGGTTTCAGATCAGCATCTCACCCAGAACTTTGGTTTTTCCTTTATTGCTGAGGGAGGCATGAATCCTCCACCTCCAATTAACGCAAATGCATCTTTCATTCCCCCAGTCACCCAGCCCAGTGCCTCACGCACTCCTGCTCTCCTCCCTGTAGAGCCCCAAAACACTCTCCCTTCTTTCTACCCTTCATATTCACCTGCTGCTCATCCAAGCCTTCCAAGTGAGATTCCTTTACAGTATTTCTCTAACCAGATGTTTACAAGCCCAAGTGCTGATAAAAGTAGCACTGCCCCTCTTAACAATCGCTTTGGCTCTATTCTCTCTCCACCTCGTCCTGTGGGCTTTGCACAGGCAAGCTACCCACTGCTTACGGATATTACACCAATGCCTATAGCAAACTCCTCAGGCATTACTCCTCATTTATCAAATTTTAACCTGACTTCCCTGTTCCCTGAAATAGCCACAGCCATGCCCCCTGATGGCTCCTCTATGCCAATGTCCCCTTTACTGTCCCTTGCCAATACTTCCTCATCTGACTCCAACAAGCAGTCTAATCGCCCAGCCCACAATATCAGTCACATTCTTGGCCATGATGGGACCTCTGCTGTTTAAAGATGCAGATTATGAAATATTCACCCAATGTCAGTACTACCTAAATATAAACATTGTCTTTTTCTGCTAACTCAAGTGAAATTTTGATTATCTGATGTGTTTGGGCTGTGCTTTACCTAGGTGTTATTGGTGAACTCATCTGTTTGTCTTTCTGAGCCATTTTAAGCATAAAACACTGTCTGGTATATGTGGGTTAATTCATAATTGACAGAAAATAATCAGCCTGTCCCAAAGTTCACACTTGTTTCATTATGTTTGAGAAGTGTGTCCCATTTGCCAAACATACAAAAACATGGTGCACAAGACCATACCCTTGTCCAAATACCGCATTAAAGCAGTATTGGGCTGAGTACATATCCCACATTCTAACAGGTTGTTTTGAAAATGTTGGGGTACAACATTAACATTGAGAGGATTATTGCAAGTGTGTGTTCTGCAAATGGTACATATCCACAGACTGCAAGTGTGGTCTCTGACACAATTTAAATTGATTAATTTCCAATGTAAAGGAGTTTGATCCAAGTCTAGGCTCGTAGTATGCAATTTTTACTTTTAATCATTGTAGGAAGAGCAGCCCTGCCTGTTTAGGCCTAGATTTGTGTTCAGTAGTAACAACAACTGAGGTGTCAAATGCCTAAATGTCTAAAGCAGTTATTACTTGGCATACGTTGCCACGACGAATATACCCAGTGTTTTTTGTGAACGATCACAGCCTCGACTGATCTTTCAATAACTATGGCTGATGGACTTTTAAAGGACTTGCTTTGTTAAAGTTCTTTTTAAAAAATTTTCCATCTCTTAAAGAGAGTAAGGTTTTTCATTGATTAGTGGAATATCAACGAGTTAAAATACTTTTACTTATTTATGTACAACTCTTGGTGTTGTGTAGATACTGTAAATACTCAAAGGCGATTATTAAAATGTTTTTGTTTTGTAATTTGTTTGTGTGTTTTATTAACTCAGATTGAATTTGGACATGAGAAGAACTTTCTAGAATTGTCTGCTAATAGCCAACAGAAAACTACATTTGTTATATTTTAAGTTATCGTGTGTATGTATATGTGTGTATATGTGTGTATATGTATGTATGTATGTATGTATGTATGTATGTATGTATGTATGTATATTGTGTATGGGTTTTAATACTGTACTGCAGTAACTGTCTCTACTCTTCAGGGAATGCTTTACACTAAATGTTGGAACATTGCTGTGAGGATTTGAGTGCCTTCAGCAGCGGGAGCACTAGTGAGGTCAGGGATTGATGTTGAATGATTAGTACTGGATCACAAACGCCATTCCAACTCATCCCAGAGGTATTGGTTAGTACTCCACAGCAAGGGTCAAATACACCTTGCATGTAGTAAAGTAAAACTCCATGCTTTTGCCTTTGCTCTCTTTCTTGAGTCAAAAGATATAAATCAATATGAACATTTTAGCAATCTATCTATTTAAGGAAATATAAAGTTTATGTGTAAATTGAAAGATATGGCTGTTGAAAAAATTCAAAGGCATTGAAAAACTAATTTGGAACATAGACAAAAAATCACCAACAATGAGGAACATAAAAATAGTTAATTACATTAAGAACAAAAGTGTAACATTCCTAACATTTGGAACACCAAATTTGGACACATAATTGTCTGCACTGCAAGGTCTTGTGTTTTTCAGCAGCACAAGATTGAGGATTTTTATTGTTTCCGACCTGCACTTGGGCATCAGGTGAGTAGAGGCTGCTATTGCAGCAAATGAGGACTCCATATTAAAGGAGAATTCCACTGATTTTTGGAAATTTCTGCTTAATTCAGTCATTACAGTGTGAACTATTCACAGTGTTTCGGTGTAAAATGTTCAGGTGTGGAAAAACTTGTCGAGTCAGAATTGTTCACAGCTATGGTGGAAGAAACCAGAGGCTTCTAAAAGATGCGTCACAGAATATTATTCCATGAAACTGATATGTTTGATGTCTGAGAAAATGCTTTAAGATAAAGTTTTGCCCTAAAATATATGTTTTGGGGGAAAGGTACATACAGGGTGTTCAAAGGCAAAATAATCTACAAAGAAGGCTTATTTCTTCAGATTTACCACAATTTGCCATCATCAACATGACATAAAAACTCAGAAGACACACGTAGGTCCACTGGTGGCTTTGGATAGAAAATAAAGTGGCTTTAATTGCACTGTACATCATGTCCCTGGTTCCTTTCTCACCACTGTAATCTGAATCACCATGTTCAGTCTTGAAAATTGAATAAAGCAGAAATTTTAAGCTGGTAGCTTTTCTTAACCCCTTAATATGCCAGGTTTATTACATACTAAGGCTTATTATTCAGTAACTACATGGACTTCAATGCAAACTGGCTGAGGTTATAGTAGTGTTTAAAAAAAACGGTGGGCCCTGACCATTTAAGGGGTTAATATCCTTGATTAAAAACTGTTAAATGAGCAGGTGTCTACAAACTTTTCGACACAGTGTCGTATTAGCCTATTTTTATATGTAGACTGTAGCATACAAATACATCACACAATTTTAGCATCCTCTGATATACTTTGTGCTTTTGGTAGAATATCACAGGTAATGTCTTATCTTTCTACAGACATTGCACAGTATCAACATCTGGAGCATTGTAGGGTGAAAGGTATTCACTTTTATGTGCTATAATGTGAAAGAAACTTTGTCAAGTATGTTTTACCTCAACAGCGGGTGAGAAAGTGCTAATGAGTGAGATTTTAGATGCAATGAAAACAAAGTTCAGTGTGATTTCTTTAGCTTTATTTACATGCAATAGTGCTCAAGGTCATGTAACCACAACAGCTACATACACTTCTAAAATGAGTTGTAGATTCATGTTTTCCTTCATTATTTCATAGTTCAGCACTTTGTGAGAAGGCTAATACTGATGCAGTAGTGTAGTTTACAGTTCACTGAAAACTGTAAATTCTGATCTTCGGCACCAAACCTGATTCCAAGGAGCTCGATTCAAGATTTCTGAGTTTGTAATTCATTTAATGATCTTTATAAGATCTAAAACATACATATAGCTCCTTAAAATCAGCCAAGCACCTAAAAACCAGTATAATCTAAGGTAGATGTGTTCATTCCAGGTTTCCCATTCAGTTATTAAAAATATTCATAGTCAATATTACTAAAGGCATGGTGCTTATACATTGCATACAATTTGTTAATACTTTGTTAATGATGAAATACATATTTCTTAGTGATATATGTACAAAAACGGTTGAACACTGCACCACGAAGCCTACCACCACCAATAATGCCACTTTTCATTCAGTGAAAATGTTATGAAAGTTACAGTCATACAATCAAACCAGAGTTATGCAGGCGGCAACACTACTACACAACGTAACGTGCATGAGAGGGTCTGCTGCTAAATACTGCATTTTGCATACTGTTTAGTTCTTAAGCTAACTGCCTGTTTTGTTCATGCTCTCCACATTCTAGCAGTCTTAACAGCTGGTTAAAGATAATGTTTTTATCTGTAAAGCATGAACAACACTGGTAAGGTTTCCAGCCATTACATCCACAGAAGCTAGATGAAGAACAATGTGAAGCTTATTTATGCCCAGCTGTCTGTCAGAAAGATGATTTACTAATGTCTTCTGTTAGGATCTCCCTTTGTCCTGGTGGTGACAAGCAAAACATAGTAATACATGTTTATCTGATATAAACAATCCATATATACAGGATAACAAAACTGTACTATTTACACAAGCATAAATATATAAATATAGTATCTGTTATACAAAAATAAATACTGTCTCTGTTCTTTTTTTTTAGTTTTTTTGTCCTTTTTTTCTTTTCTGTTCTTTGTTCACCCATCCCATGGTCCTCGCTCCTCTAGATGACTTTCACACCGGATCTTGCTGACTTCCTGTTGTGCTGCATCTTGCAGTGCCACCGTGGTGACAGTGTTGTCTGATACTGCCAACAGTGGCAGGTCTGGAGAGAAAGGAAAAAAAAGAGATCCATATCTGAAACTATATGGATTGGGCATGATTTAAAAAAAAACAAAAAAAAACAAACCCTGCTGTTACCCTACAGTGTGATCTTTGACATGCATATAAAAAATGTAATTTGAAACTAATAGCACTTTTAAAGCCACCTTCTAAATTTACATATTTTGACAAAACTGCACTAGTTGTCCTCTACAGTTTCTCATTAGACTGAATGAGACTTTTGCCAAAAGTCTATAACACCTGTCCAGCTGTGCGACAGCACCTACGACAGAATGCATTCGTGGGCGGAGCCTGGATAGATCAGTTATCCTGTTCGAGTTATGAAATGCTAAATGCACTAACCTGCAATTATCTCTTCCTCTAAGTGCAGTGTCTCGGAGAGAGTGTGGTTCCCCAGCGTGTGTTCAGGATGTTCAGGCTGTGGGCTGAGGAGCTCTACGGTGGAGTCTTCAGGCTCACAGCTGCTCTCCTCATCCACATGGGCAGGAACACTGGACAGCCAAAAAAAATCCCATTAGTTAATCAAAGTTACTTTTTAATGAACACTAACTAGAGCTTGGTAGATTTAGATGTAGTCTTAAATTAAAACAGAAAAACAGAAAAGCCTATTAATGCTAGTGTTTCAAGTTCATTAGAAAAATACAGCTGCATGACAGGAGTGCATGAAATAAGATGTTTTGTACATTCTAGATCTGAGGTCACCAGTCTTACCCACAAAGAGGTTTTCATTCCAGCCCTGCAGGAGAACACCTCATATAACTAATCCATTGTTTGAAAACTGAGACCAACTGATTAAACAAGTAAAATCAGATGTGCTTCAGCCAGACTGCAATAAAAACCTGCAGTCACACCGGATCTTTCTGGGTAAGACTTGTGATCCCTGTTAAAGCCTATTCATAGGTAGTAAGACTATGTATAATACCAAATATGCCAAAAGGTTCAAATAAACATGGGCAATACAGTTCAGATAGTGATCTAACACCCTAATCTACAGATGAATACATGACCATGTTAGTTTGCTTCTGGACCAGTTCAGTTAGCTTCTTGGCCATTTCTGGACAGAGAGTTAATGAATAATAATGAATAATTAATAATTCTTACCCATTAGAGTAGTGATAGGCATGCGAATGTCCATTGGAAAGTCTCTGTGGCAATAACGTCCCACACTCCATTTCACAATCCCCATCCTGCTGCAAGAGAAACAAGCCTTCACATGTCTGGCAAAAATGCATCAACACATTCATAACCTTTCAACTTCATTTATTAAGCAAAACAAAACATCCGTGATGATTTGCTAATAATGCTACATTCAGAATACATGAATTATACAATTATTCCCTAAAGTAAGTAAACTAAAACACAAAATTTTGTTGATGTATTTTATTCATGTAGAAATTATGAACACATTTGAATCAAGTATATTCAGTGTAGTACTTTATCCCCTCACCATCTGTTCAGGTTTTAAGCAAGCAGTGGAAGACGGGCCTGTATAATCTTAGGAACCCAGACAACTAATACGGGTACCATTTTGTTGGCTGTGTGATTCTAATATAATTTTTAATCTAATTGTCTTTATTTTTTAATTTGGGAAAAAAATATATATATATATATATATATATATATATATATATATATATACAACAACATTTCATGATGAATGGAACAACAGAAAAGTACCTGGAAAAAAATTTGGTTCCATTGACTACCACTCAAAGTTAAGAACATTTCCTTCTCCTGTAAAGTTACTATTTTGGAAATAAGAGGTTCTGTTGTGACAGTGACGACATAATATACTGTTAGAAATAAAGGTTCTGCGAAGGTACATTTTTTGTTCATCAAGGTACAAACAGTGTAAACGAGACGAGATGAGACGGGGTGTGTGGAGTCATTACAACTTAGAAAATATCATTTTAATGGATTATGGTACAATTACGTTCTCCGACTAAAGGTACTGAGACGT